CTGGTATTTGGAATGCAGGCTGCAGTCTCTGTGGATGTGTCCCTGGGTGTGGGCCATGGCCCATGCTTTCACCGGATTTGAACAGGAGACCGGCCCTTTGGCCCAGCTAGAAGTAGGTGCTTAGCTTCATGTGTCATACAGCTACCAGAGTTCCCCCATTACGCAGCTCCAAGGGAGAAAGATGAGACTTTCTACTCCCTTCAAGTGCTACAGTCTCGGAAACCCACAGATGTGTAAGCGGGACCCTGAGCGCAACTCCACCCTGTCCTATAGATCGCTGTGAGTTGGAGTTGACTTGACTTGAGGGCGGGGAGTGCGGGTGTGTGGGCATGCATGCCAAGTGGGACTGTAATTCTTGTCAGACTCCTTCCTGATAGAGGCGCAATGACCTCCTCTCTGTTATATTTCTCCGTGACCTCAACCCTGTTGCACGTCCTCCGACGTGTCCACGCTTTTTATCACAGCCTTTCGGTGGCACTTGGCTACTGTGGTGAACGACTGGCTAGCTGAGACGATCTCCTGGGGGAGGGATTAGAAGGGGTCATCATTGAGTCCATCTCTTTTGAGAAACATAGAAGGTTAAACAAGCCCATGGAAGAAGCAGAGATGTGGGAGAGAGGTGCCAGGTCACAGGAGGATCACCCCGCAGCAGGAGAGAGGAGAACCTTCCCTCCCAGCTGACACAGAGAGGCTTTCCCTAGAGCTGGTGCCTTGAATGTAGACTTCTAGCCCCCTAAATTGTGAGAGAATAAACTTCTGTTTGTAAAAGTCCCCCTCTTGTGATATTTCTCTTACAGCAGCACTAGATAACTAAGACACTCCTGAAGACGAGCAAGCGTGAACCCGCAGCGCAGGAAGCAGTGAGAGCAGGCGCTGTGCCAGGCCTGTGGGAAACGCAGGGTTAAGTGAGACAGTCCTCACCTTCAAGGGGAGCAGGGGGCAGTGGGGGGGACACAGGGGCACGCAAAAGCTCCGGATAAACACTGAAACGGAAGGGCATGATGTCTTACAGCCGGGGCAGAGTCTCTGTGCCACTCCACCAAATCACTTAATGTTTCATCCATAAAATGGGATGATTTTTCTTAAAAACATTTTATTAGGGGCACATACAACTCTTATCACAGTCCATACATACATCAATTGTGTAAAGCACATTTGTACATTCATTGCCCTCATCATTCTCAAAACATTTGCTCTCCACGTAAGCCCCTGGCATCAGCTCTCATTTCCCCCCTCCCTTTCTGCTCCCCTCTCCCTCATGAACCCTTGATTATTTATAAATTATTATTTTGACATATCTTACACTGTGCGACGTCTCCCTTCACCCACTTTTCTGTTGTCCGTCCCTCAGGGAGGAGGTTATATGTAGATCCTTGTAATCGGTTCCCCCTTTCCACCCCACCCTCCCACCACCCTCCTGGCATCGCCACTCTCACCACTGGTCCTAAAGGGATCATCTGTCCTGGATTCCCTGTGTTTCCAGTTCCTATCTGTACCAGTGTACTGGGATGATTTTTTGATAATTGAACAATCATATGAGAGTGTAAATTTAACTCGTATTTCTCTATTATCATCCAGGACTATCTTTTTCTCTAATAAGAGCTGTTTGCAATTTTAAAGTTATTATACATGCGTGTGTGTAAATATGTATATATCTCGAAAAGTTCATGGAAAATTCCATTGTCCTTTAATTACATTTTCCCACGACCTTCTTGAAGCCCCATGTTGTTTGTGTCTCACAGTTGTCTCCTTGTCCCCATGCCACCAAGCACGAGCCACCTGTGCACCATTTCCAGTACCCATTGTCAAGGGCCCCCACCACGTCATAGCACGGAGTCATTCTTATTTTGATGAGTTGCCAGCTACACAATCACTAAAGTAATGAGTGAAGATGATAACAATCACTGAAGAAGCAGGAGGAGGCAGAGGAGGAGAAAAGGCTCTTTAGACCTGCTGCCCAGAGGTTCCCTGAGGGCCGAGACGGGTGCTGACGGACAAATGCCCCTGTGGACGGCAGCCAAGATGGACTGACAAGCTCTTGACACAGAGAGGGCTGCCTGCTCCCAGCCAGCCCGGGAGCAGCGTGCCCTGCGCCCTCATTTCTACAGCGGGTCCCCACGAGGCGCTGGTCACGTGCCCCAGGGCCCAGTGACTGCCTTGGCATGAGGAACCCTCTCTGGCTTGTTCTAACCTGCCCGTCATAGAGGGTGAAGGTGCTCAAGTCTGGTGATCTCGATCAAGCTCAGCGCTTGAGCGCCAAAAGGGACCTTCCAGAAAATAGTGTCCAGCCCCGCCCTTTGTACAAAGAGCAATAGGGACTCCTGCGGGGAACATGACCTGTTCGAGGTCATCGAGTGAAGGTTTCCCGCTGGTAACCGCAGCCAGGGTCTCTGTGTTCTTCAGGCCATTGTAGCCGAAGCTCGGTCTGTGCATGGCGGCATAAACGCTCTCAGTGCCTTTACTCATCCCTGCCCCAGCACGCCAGCTGCTGTCAGGTGACTGCGGCTCAGGGTGGCCCCGCGTGTCTCCCGGCACACACGTGCTCAATACGGGCAGCTCAATGGCTGGATTTTTCAGCATTAGACCACCAGGCCTTTTGATAAGGTTCCTCTGAGTGGACTTGAACCTGACCCTTTGCACCACGCAGGGAACCCGAGTTGGCTGTGACCTTCCAGTAAAGAGTTCTGAGGGTGATGAAAAACATTTTTGTTTCCTCTCCTGCTATCCATGTCCCCAGGTGTCTTTTCTTTGGGATGTTTAATTCTCTGGGGAAATGTTTAGCAAATGCCACTTTTGCCTATGAGCCTACTCACCACATGGAGCCACGGATGGCAAGGAGCTGCTCCAGCTTCCGCAAGTGCCGGCATCACTCGCACACCCTCCTGAGGAAACCTTCTGTGACCTCCACGCTGAGGAAAGGAAGTCCTTCTTTTACCTCTGACCTCCCGCCAGCCCTTAGGCATGCTTGCAGGAGAAAATCCTCTCATTGTTAGCACTCTCCGCTCCCCGAGTGTGTCCATCCGGGCCTGGCTGGCAGCTTCGGCCACCCTGGCTGAGCCCGGGAGGCGTTGGAGTCTGAAGTGGAAAGACGGGTAGGCTCATTCTGGAAGTCTTTCTGTCTCTGGAAATCCTGTCCTGCTGTCTGCTGTTCCCTCTGTCTGTCCTCAGAGTTGCTTCCTCTCTGCTCCCTGCTGTCCCTGGGGAGCGTGGCTCTCAGCTGACAAACTGTCTTCATGAGTTTACCCTGGGCACCCTCCCCACTGCTTCCCCCTCAGTTGCCATCTGGGTGTGGTTGAGCTCCAGGCCTGGGCAGCAAAAGGGGCATCATCGATCAGTCGGAACTCTGGCTGACCTATCCCGTGAAAGGTTGGGCTGGCGAATCGATCGATGGGGCCGTCTTGCTTTCCCACTTCCAGAGTGGCCCTTCCGAAGGGCAGTCTCACCAACTCACTGCCATCGAGCTGATGATGACTCACAGCGACCCCCTGAGGGTCTACAAAGACTGCCACTCTTTGAAGGAGTAGAAAGCCTGTCTTTCTCCTGAGTAGTGACTGGTGGTTTCGAACTGGCAACCGCGACTCCTTCCAAAGGTTCATTGTCTGAAAAAATTTGGAGGGTCCATTGCAACAGATCCTAAAAGATCTAAGCCAAAGACCAGCCCCTCCAAGCATTTTCCATGAATGTGGGTGCTGAGTGGAGTCCCTGAGTGACACACTCAGTTACCGCTCTCAGCTGAAAGCCTAACTTGGCGGTCAAGTTCACCAGGGCACCTCAAAAGAAAGGCCTGGCCATCCACTTCCCCCAAACCAGCCACTGCACACCTGGTGAGACACAGTTTACTCTGACAGCCCTGTGGACGGCAGCAGCAGGCATTTCTTCTGATGCTGACTGCTCTTACCTGAGGGAACCTGGGGGGGGGGAGGCGGCTTCTGTGGGACCACACACAGATTTGCCCTTTTGCGAAGCAGTGCTGTGGTCTATGGAAGTGTTCCCCTCTGTTCCAGCTAACATCCTCCCTCTTGATGAATGGACCCCTCGTGGGAAGCCTGGTTCCCAACCCCATGAAGCCCCAAAGGCACCATAGTTCCATCTAACCAGCCCTGACAAGCCAATGTTTCGCTTTTCTGGAGAAACCTCAGTCTGAAAATCCATTTAAGTCCATGGGAGATGATCTTTCTCCCACTTTTACATTCTTTAGAGACACGTCCTTGTGGAAGTGGGAATGTTTATCTGAAAGCGGGGTTTGTTTATTTTCATTCCCAGAGAAGCTCTGTGCTGTGTGGTAGTTAGCCAGAAGACCCAGCCCCTGGATGGTTTTGTTTGTCTGTTTGTTCAAAGTCTGTTCCTCCTCACTGATAGTTTGTTAATTATGTTATAAGAATTAGTTCATGGGATTGTCATATACTTTCCCAGCCCAAGCCTGGACTTGGCTCTGGGATGCCAGGCCCACAATCACTTGGCGTTTGTCAGACTCTGTATTAGGTCGGGCGATGTCCGCTAGAGTGGCTGTCACATCAGGAGGACTCGAAGTGTCAATCCGCCAGCCTCAAAGGCCCACCTGGAGCTGAATGTCATCCAGCCCAGGGCAACCTGGTGGGGCTAATAAATTCGTCCCTGATAGAATGCAAACTTGAGGGACCAAGGGCCCCGGGGCTGTGTCTCCATGGCTGCTCTGGGGCCCCCAGCAATTCCTGGCTCTGAGCAGGTGATCCATAAACAGACCACAGGTTCTCTCGTTGGAGAGGTTGTGTGCTTTGTCACAGCGTGGACAATGTACAAAAATAGAGCAGAGGCCGCTGGGCTCTAGTCTTTGGCTGCGTTAGACCTTTCTCACACCACGTTAAGCGCAGACGGCCCAGAGGTTATTTCTGGTAGGCTGGGGTCTCAGGGCTTAGACGTTCTCTCTAGGGGGAAAGAGCTATTGCACTGAAAACAGATGAGAGCGTGAGGGGAAAGCCCTCTGAAGACAGCTGAATCTTGGGGTTGAATCTCCCATCCAGGTCCTGACGGGGAGAAGAGCTGGTCCAAGAAGTACCCGTCCTGCGGCGGGCTGCTGCAGTCGCCCATCGACCTGCACGGCGACATCCTGCAGTTTGACGCCAGCCTCCCGGCCCTGGAGTTCCTAGGCTACAACGTGTCTGCCGAGGAGCAGCTTCTTCTGACCAACAACGGCCACTCAGGTGAGTAGGGACTTGGGCCTGCGGGGCACTGAGCTGCCCTTGACTCCCTGCCCTGCCCTCTTCCGTCTAGCAGTGAGGAGCTCCACGGGGTCCATGCAGGGGGTGGTGGGGTGTCGTGAGGGAGTCCTGAGGCCCTCTCCTCACCGGTTCCAGAGGTCCTGGGACTGCGCTCTGGTTTTCTAGGGCTACCCTAACAAAAGACTACAAACTGGGGGCTGGTGTGAGCAACGCTTTGCTGTCTCACAATTCTGGAGACTCGGGTGTTGGTCATGTTGCCTCCTTGTGAGGCTTTGAGGGGATCCATTGAAGACTTCGCTCCAGCTTGCAGCTGCAGTATCCCATAGCGCCCTGCTCGGTTTACCGCTCTCTGTGTAGCTTCTTCCTTTCAGAAGGGCATCAGTCTTATAGGGTCAAGACCTACCCCGCTCCAAGAAAGGAGAGCTGGTAGCACAGTGATTAAGCACCTGGCTGCTAGCCCAAAGGTCAGTGGGTGGAACCCCCGAGCACGGTTGAAGGAGAGAGGTGTGGGACTCTGCTTCGATGAAGATCGCAGGCTCGGAAGCCCGAGGGGAGCAGTTCTCGGCTGTCATCTCGGGTTGCACTAGGAACCTTCTCAAAGATTGGTTTGAGGTTTTTACTACTCGAATATCACCTCAAGGTAACCTAACCGATAACATCTTCAGAGATTATGTTTCTGAACAAGGCCACAGCCTTCCCAGCTACCGGGCACCCGGGTCAGCACTTCCACATATCTTTTTTTCCCCCTCTGTGGGAGGGCCCATCAACATATCTTTTTGAGAGACACAACTCAGACCATAACAGGTGGGAGGATTTGTCAGGTCTGCCCCTCTCAGAAGAACGTCATAGGGGAGGGGCTGGGCCCGAGTCCCCTGACTCACAGGCTGCTGTGCTGGCATGAATGCTGGGGCCTCAGGGTTCACTCACAGGGCCATATAGGTCGGTGGGGGGTACACACGCTTTAGAGTCAGATCAGCCTGGATTTGAGTCTCAGCTTGAGCCCTGGCAGTGGAGTGGTTACGCTGACACATTGGGCTAACTGCAAGTTCAGCCGTTTGTAAACCACCAGCTATTAAGCTGGAGAAAGACGAAGCTTTCTTCTCTTATAAACAGTCTCAGAAACCCAAACGGGCAAGTCTTCTCTGTCCTGTAGGGTCGCCATGAGCGGCAGCGAGATTGGTGCTTTGACTTTTGACTTGGTGTGGGCCATGAGACTCGGAGGGATCACTTGAACAGGGTTGACCTTTCATCTGGAAAACGGGCGCATTTGCTCTGTCGCTGGGAAGACTTGTGGATGGGGACCACGTTTCTAGCAGCTGCTTCACAGATGTCTATTATTACTACCATTGTTATAGAATTCTAAAGTGTGGAAGGCACCTCACTGAAGTCCAGTCTCTACATTGTTGGCAGGGACTGTCAGGTCAGTGTTGGCCCACAGTGACCCTCGGTGCCACAGAGCTCAGCACTGCCCGGTCTTGCGCCATCTTTACACTCAGGGCCGTGTGTGAACCCATGGTTGCAGCCCCCGGTCAATTCATCTCGTTGAAGGACTTCTTTTTCGCTGGCCCTCTGCTTTCCAAGCTTGATGCCCTTCTCCAGGGACTGGTCTCCCCTGACAACGTGTCCACAGTAGATGAGATAAAATCTCGCCATCTTTGCTTCTAAGGAGCAATCCTGACTGCACTTCTTCCAAGACAGTTTGGTTCATTCTTCTTCGTCCGTGGTGTATTCACTATTCTTCGCCAATACCGTCATTCAAAGCATCCCTTTTCCTTCTACTTTCCTTACTTAGTGTAAGCATTTCATGTGTGGGAGACAATTAGAACTACCACAGCTCGGGTCCCTTACACCCTATTCCTCACAGTGAGATTCAAGCGGTCCTTTGCAGAAGACTGGCGCATAGACTGAATCATAGGCCATTTGCTTTCTTGATTACTGCTCGCATGGGAATTGGCTGTGGATACAAGTAAAGTGAAAAACCCTCACAATGTCGGCGTATTCGCTGTTTTTCCTGGCATTGCTCATTGGTCCGGTGGTGAGGGTTTCTGTTATGGTGATGCGTAACCCATCCTGAAGTAGTCTTTGATACCCACCACCTTCAGCAAGCAAGAGTGCATCATCTGCAGACCGTAGCTTGTCCGTGAGCCTTCCTCTAGTCCTGAGGGCACGTTCTCATCAGAGAGTCCAGTTTCTTGGGGCGTTTGCTCAGCATACAGATTGAAGAAGTAGGGTGAAAGAGTGTGCGATGCTGTCAAACCCCCTTCCTGAGTTTAAACCGTGGAGTGCCCGTTAGTTCTCTGTGAGGAATGACACCTTGGTCCATGGAGAGGTTTGTGAAAGAGGACAAGGAGTGCTCTGGAACTCTCGTTTTCCTACAATGCTACCCGTCATTTGTTACCACCACACAGTTGCATGCCTTCGCCTTGTTAAGCAGCACAAGGAAACGTCTTTCTGGTAGTCTCTGCTTTCAGCCCCAATCCATCTGCACTCAGCAGTGACCTTTCGAGCCAGTGTCTGATACGTGGGGTATGTAAATGACCACATCCTGCCGGTCGAGAACTAACGTCTTTGCATAACTTCCCATGAGAAACCAAGACGGTATCCGTGCCCCCGGAGTTGCTTTAGGAAAAGGGGCATCCTCGGGGAAAGAACCCAGTTTCTGACCCACACACTGCACCTCTCCACGCACCTGAGCCTGCCTGAGCCCTGGGCAGGTGTTGCCTACCTGGTGTTGCGCTCAGCTCTCAATGCTGCCCCTCCATTCCCCACAGTGAAGCTGAACCTGGTTCCGGACATGCACATCCAGGGCCTCCAGTCCCGCTACAGCGCCACGCAGCTGCACCTGCACTGGGGGAACCAGAACAACCCCCAGGGGTCCGAACACACGGTTGGCGGGAGACACTTTGCTGCTGAGGTGAGCGAGGGCCAGGCTGGCAAGGGTGGTGGTCACCAGGTAAGATCAGAGCATGGGAAAGTGGCTTCCTGACTGCTTGGCACAGGAGGCTACGGCCATTCTGGCCATCCTGTAGCCCATCTGTGCTGCCCTAGTCCCGTCATCTTCTGAACACGCTAAGTCTGATTCTATGGCTGTGAGCGATGCCACCACAGAGGCAGTGTTCCCGGGCTGGCCCAGTAGGAACCCCCCTCACCCCAGCCCCACCCCCAGTTCTGTTTGCACAGGTTAAGGTCTCATTAGCTTGTTTAGCTGACTCATTCCACCACTGAGTCTGACCCCATGGGGTTAACTGCTTCCCCAAATTTCTCAGTGTTTCTTCCCATTGAACCAGTTCATTCCACTTCAACCCCCGGCTGAGGATTTGCACGCCCACCCCAGATCAATTCTGAATCAGCATCTACCTTTTAACAAGATCTCCGGGTGATCTGTATGAAGTCAAATATTCTTATGAACACTGATTTGCTCTTGAGCAGAACTTGTACATAGACCGAAAGGCAGTCTTTACATAGGAAGCACCTGGGGGGTCTTGTTACAATGTAGGTTTGAGTCCGTGTCTCTGGGTGGACGTGCAGGTCCGTGTCTCTGGGTGGACGTGCAGGTGCTCACCGGGGTATCTGACCAGAAGGAACTGGTTCAAAACCCTGCATTCTAAACTGGCCATGTTGATTCTCTCATCCCGCTTTGCTTTCCCTGGTCGTGGGCTGTGCTTTGGAAGATGAGCCTAGATCCAGGGCCAAACCAGCCGCTCCTTGGGAGAAAGATGAGGCTGTCTGCTTCTGCAGAGATTTACCTACCAACTTGGACAACCTGCATGGGATTCCTCCGAGTGAGAGAGAGTTGATGGCTGGGAGAATGGCATGCTGATGCACAGGGCACGATGGCTGGCCACCAGAGACTCTCTGAGGGACGTCAGCACAGCCTTGTGCATGTCGCCTGGAGGTGCTAACCCCAAAGTGCCCAGAGGGGATGCGAGGAGGGTCAGAGCGGTGTGCCTGCACCACAGAGAAGCGTGCAATCTGGGGGAGATGAGCTGCTAGTGCCCCCATTGGGGTCAAACTTGGGAGTGTGGTTCTGCACGGGTCTAGAGCAGTAGAAGGAGGTAGACGTCCTTGGGTGGTGCAAATGCTTAAGTGCTCATCTGCTAATAAGTACAAGGCTGGAGGCTTGAGCCCACCCAGAGGTGCTGCAGAAGAAGGGCCTGGTGTTCCACTTCCACCTCGCCAGCCATTGACAAGATCTACGGAGCACAGTTCGAACGCGGCAAACATGGGGTCCCCACGGGTCAGCGTTGACTCGGTGACAACTGGCTCTTCTTCCTCTTCTTGCTATTTTACCAGAGGGCAAGAGGAGAAAGGCCCACAGTAAATAATGACCTGCCCCTTTCCTGTTGTCCCTGCTGAACTGCTGACCAGCTCAGGCTAGTTGTGGGTCGAGTGACGAGTAGGAGGGGATGTGATTCTGGCTCAGACTGGATGGCACGCCTGCAGGTCCAAGCCTTTCCGATCGCAAGGATCTCCATTTCTGGGAGGGTAGTCGCAACGTGAAAGCTGCTTCCTCCCGGGGAGGAATGAACGGGGCAACCTGGCAGGGTTCGTGCTCAGAAATCTTCCTAGTTAGTCTTTGCTGCCGTGAAGCCATTCTCCAGACTCGTCTGCGAGGAGGGACTGGAAGTGCCAGTGGCAGAGAAGCCCCATCAGAGACCCTAAGATGCCAGTGCCCAGTGGAGGGTCCTTGGGAGAGTGCAGTTCTCCGGATTTAGTGCCTGAAGAGGCCGTTCTGAATCGGCTGCGCTCGCATTCTCTCCAGTCCTCGTGATCTAATCTGAACGTAAGGGCTCAAAAGTCAGCCGAGGAAGGAAGCACAGCCCAACTGGAACTCCGCTGTTTCCCTGAGAGACGCCTGGCCGGGGCGGTGGGGGGGGCAGGGGCACCTTCCGGGGAAGGTGGCAAAGCGAAAAACCCCTACGAAATCCTTAATAGCAGACCACCTAAAAGACTAAATGCTTGGAGATCATGTTTGAAAATTGGAAGGGGCCACTAGAAAAGTTCAAAACGGAATTTAAAAGTGCGTGCAATAAAAGATGCTTCAATTCTATTCACAGTCATAGTCTATTCACATAAATGATTGAAAAGAAATGGAAGAAGCACATACAATCTCAGTGTGTGTCATAGTCCCAGAGGCAAAAAATCAACAAAAATGCATTATATACACACACACACACGTGTGTGTGCAGTTATAGCGTGGTAAACCACAGGGGCTTGCTATGAGTCAGTAATGGCTTGATGGCAGTGAATTTGGTGGCATATATATATATATATGAAGAGAGAGATCTAGCTACTAATAAAGGTTTTTGGAGATGAGGTGATAAAATCTCTAGGATTAAAAATCAGGTTAAATATTGTCAGAGGTTGCCCCCAGCGCTGTAATTTTTAACCTCTACTTTTTAAGCCCAGGATTCCTCAAGAGTCTGCCCCTTTCTTCACTTAAACCCTGAAAATAACTTCTCCTCTGAAAGACGAGGCGGTTAGCATTTTATTTTACCAAGACGAAACAGCCTGTATTTGAGGAATAAGCTTCTTGCCTCACGGCCTCTTAAACATATGGGTGCTGCAGCATTCATAGAAGTCAGCTGGTGTTCTCCACCTGAGGGATACACCAGCCGGGCCCAATGGATGGCGCTTCCACTGGCGGCAGCTGCTCATGCTGTGGCACTGAGTGGAGAGACGCCAAGGCTCAGGCCGCGCCAGCACATGACCCTGCTTTGCCCAGACGCCAAATTAGTTGGGGGGAATCTGAATACACAACGAAGCCAGCCAGCCAACTTCAACTCATGGCGACCTCGTGTGTGGCAAAGTGGAAGTGCACTTTGTAGGAAAAAGCAGACCATCCAATGAACCAATCTCACTGTCAGGGAGTTGATCCTGACTCAGAGTGGGCCTAGAGGTCAGGGCAGAACTGCCCCTTTGAGTTAACTCTTTACAGGAGTAGAACAATCTCCTCTTTCTCCCGCAGAGCAGCTGGTGGCTTCGAACCGCGGACCTTGTGGTTGGCATGTAGCCACCAGAGAGAAATGAACCCAAAGCTTATTTAGGGCGAGTGTCAGAGCCATTATTCATTCATGGTTTCATCCGTTCGATAGCTGGTGCAGAGCCAGTGCTCC